TCCTCATTACTGTGTCAGAGAAGAGAGGGGGGAGAGAAAGAGAAAGGAGAGAGAGAGAGAGAGAGAGAGAGAGAGAGAGAGAGAGAGAGAGCGAGAGAGCGAGAGAGAGAAATAGTGAAACGGACAGATAGAAGGAAGATAGAGACTGCTCTGCAGTTTGTGTTTCTCTCCATGTTTGTGTTGTTGGTAATAAAATACATCAGATCTCTGTCCTGTCCCCTTTCCTCGTCTCCCCAGAGCCCCCACCCCCATTTGGGAGACATTCAGAGGATCACAGTTCCGGCTAAAATAGAGGCACACAAAAACTGATCCAAAAGTCGCCAGCATCAATACTGTATCCTCCACTCAGTGTTGAATGTACTGTATTATCGGTTTGTGCCGTAATTGCCAACTCATATGGTCATAGCCTGGTTCATACATCTGGAACCAGGCTACTAAGATACTATGATGTTCAGCAGGAAGCCAATACATCTGGAACCAGGCTACTAAGATACTATGATGTTCAGCGGGAAGCCAATACATCTGGAACCAGGCTACTAAGATACTATGATGTTCAGCGGGAAGCCAATACATCTGGAACCAGGCTACTAAGATACTATGATGTTCAGCGGGAAGCCAATACATCTGGAACCAGGCTACTAAGATACTATGATATTCAGTCGCGGAAGCCAATACATCTGGAAACCAGGCTACTAAGATACTATGATGTTCAGCGGGAAGCCAATACATCTGGAACCAGGCTACTAAGATAACTATGATATTCAGCGGGGAAGCCAATACATCTGGAACCAGGCTACTAAGATACTATGATATTTCAGGGCGGGAAGCCAATACATCTTGGAACCATAGGCTACTAGATACTATGATATTCAGCGAGGAAGCCAATACATCTGGAACCCAGGCATACTAAGATACTATGATAGTCAGCGGGAAGCCAATTACAAATCTGGAACCAGGCGACTAAGATACATATGATATTCAGCGGGAAGCCAATACCATCTGGAACCAGGCTTACTAGAAACTAATGATATTCACGGGAAGCCAATACATCTGGAACCAGCTACTAAGATAATATGATATTCGCGGGAAAGCCAATACATCTGGAACCAGGCTACTAAGATACTATGATGTTCAGCGGGAAGCCAATACATCTGGAACCAGGCTACTAAGATACTATGATATTCAGCGGGAAGCCAATACATCTGGAACCAGGCTACTAAGATACTATGATGTTCAGCGGGAAGCCAATACATCTGGAACCAGGCTACTAAGATACTATGATGTTCAGCGGGAAGCCAATACATCTGGAACCAGGCTACTAAGATACTATGATGTTCAGCGGGAAGCCAATACATCTGGAACCAGGCTACTAAGATACTATGATATTCAGCGGGAAGCCAATACATCTGGAACCAGGCTACTAAGATACTATGATATTCAGCGTGAAGCCAATACATCTGGAACCAGGCTACTAAGATACTATGATATTCAGCGGGAAGCCAATACATCTGGAACCAGGCTACTAAGATACTATGATATTCAGCGGGAAGCCAATACATCTGGAACCAGGCTACTAAAATACTATGATATTCAGCGGGAAGCCAATACATCTGGAACCAGGCTACTAAGATACTATGATGTTCAGCGGGAAGCCAATACATCTGGAACCAGGCTACTAAGATACTATGATGTTCAGCGGGAAGCCAATACATCTGGAACCAGGCTACTAAGATACTATGATATTCAGCGGGAAGCCAATACATCTGGAACCAGGCTACTAAGATACTATGATGTTCAGCGGGAAGCCAATACATCTGGAACCAGGCTACTAAGATACTATGATGTTCAGCGGGAAGCCAATACATCTGGAACCAGGCTACTAAGATACTATGATGTTCAGCGGGAAGCCAATACATCTGGAACCAGGCTACTAAGATACTATGATATTCAGCGGGAAGCCAATACATCTGGAACCAGGCTACTAAGATACTATGATGTTCAGCGGAAAGCCAATACATCTGGAACCAGGCTACTAAGATACTATGATATTCAGCGGGAAGCCAATACATCTGGAACCAGGCTACTAAGATACTATGGTATTCAGCGGGAAGCCAAAACATCTGGAACCAGGCTACTAAGATACTATGGTATTCAGCGGGAAGCCAATACATCTGGAACCAGGCTACTAAGATACTATGATATTCAGCGGGAAGCCAATACATCTGGAACCAGGCTACTAAGATAATATGATATTCAGCGGGGAAGCCAATACATCTGGAACCAGGCTACTAAGATACTATGATGTTCAGCGGGAAGCCAATACATCTGGAACCAGGCTACTAAGATACTATGATGTTCAGCGGGAAGCCAATACATCTGGAACCAGGCTACTAAGATACTATGATATTCAGCGGGAAGCCAATACATCTGGAACCAGGCTACTAAGATACTATGATGTTCAGCGGGAAGCCAATACATCTGGAACCAGGCTACTAAGATACTATGATGTTCAGCGGGAAGCCAATACATCTGGAACCAGGCTACTAAGATACTATGATGTTCAGCGGGAAGCCAATACATCTGGAACCAGGCTACTAAGATACTATGATATTCAGCGGGAAGCCAATACATCTGGAACCAGGCTACTAAAGATACTATGATATTCAGCGGGAAGCCAATACATCTGGAACCAGGCTACTAAGATACTATGATATTCAGCGGGAAGCCAATACATCTGGAACCAGGCTACTAAGATACTATGATATTCAGCGGGAAGCCAATACATCTGGAACCAGGCTACTAAAATACTATGATATTCAGCGGGAAGCCAATACATCTGGAACCAGGCTACTAAGATACTATGATGTTCAGCGGGAAGCCAATACATCTGGAACCAGGCTACTAAGATACTATGATGTTCAGCGGGAAGCCAATACATCTGGAACCAGGCTACTAAGATACTATGATGTTCAGCGGGAAGCCAATACATCTGGAACCAGGCTACTAAGATACTATGATATTCAGCGGGAAGCCAATACATCTGGAACCAGGCTACTAAGATACTATGATGTTCAGCGGGAAGCCAATACATCTGGAACCAGGCTACTAAGATACTATGATATTCAGCGGGAAGCCAATACATCTGGAACCAGGCTACTAAGATACTATGATATTCAGCGGGAAGCCAAAACATCTGGAACCAGGCTACTAAGATACTATGATGTTCAGCGGGAAGCCAATACATCTGGAACCAGGCTACTAAGATACTATGATATTCAGCGGGAAGCCAATACATCTGGAACCAGGCTACTAAGATACTATGATATTCAGCGGGAAGCCAATACATCTGGAACCAGGCTACTAAGATACTATGATGTTCAGCGGGAAGCCAATACATCTGGAACCAGGCTACTAAGATACTATGATGTTCAGCGGGAAACCAATACATCTGGAACCAGGCTACTAAGATACTATGATGTTCAGCGGGAAGCCAATACATCTGGAACCAGGCTACTAAGATACTATGATGTTCAGCGGGAAGCCAATACATCTGGAACCAGGCTACTAAGATACTATGATATTCAGCGGGAAGGTGGGCCAGTCTGGCACTAATAACAACTGTATTATAAGAACAAAGCTAGTCCCACTTCTACAAGCTAAGACCTTGGTGTATCTTATTAGGGGGGTAGCCTTCTTGTTGGATACTGGTAAAGATGGCCTATATAAGAGTTTATTGGGGGGGGGGGGGTAGCCTTCTTGTTGGATACTGGTAAAGATGGCCTATATAAGAGTTTATTGGGGGGGGGGGGTAGCCTTCTTGTTAGATACTGGTAAAGATGGCCTATATAAGGGCTTATTAGGGGGGTAGCCTTCTTGTTAGATACTGGTAAAGATGGCCTATATAAGGGCTTATTAGGGGGGGGTAGCCTTCTTGTTAAATACTGGTAAAGATGGCCTATATAAGGGCTTATTAGGGGGGGGGGGGGGGGGGGGGTTAGCCTTCTTGTTAGATACTGGTAAAGATGGGCTATATAAGGGCTTATTGGGGGGGGTAGCCTTCTTGTTAGATACTGGTAAAGATGGCCTATATAAGGCTTATTAGGGGGGGTAGCATTCTTGTTAGATACTGGTAAAGATGGGGCTATATACAGGGCTTA